CATCAATTTCTGAATACAGGTGTATCTCTCAGGCCCTGGAGGTGTAGGGACCACTGAGCCCCCATACCGACTCTTTTGAAGTGAAGGGCTGACAGGCTGAGACTGCTTTTACTTCTGAGACGCTCTCCCCGAGCAAAGCCCCTGTCCCGGAGCCCCACCCGGGGTTGGCCAGCTGCTCACTGTTTTAAAAGTGATGCTGGTGATTTCTTGCAGGGAGTGTTTGAGGATCTCCAGCCACTCCTTCTCACCCAGGGGGTCCTCCTGGGTGCCGATCACATAAATGTCATGGGGGATGTAGTCGGCAGAGTCGTCCCGCGTCTTTCCCTGCCCCTTGGAGAGAAACCAGGACGTGATCTTCTTGGGAGGGGGGGCGTTACCTTTAACAGCAAAACCCAACACCAAGTGAGTCAAAGGCATGTCCAGTCAACAGCATCAGGACAATTCAAAACAGGGAGGAGGGACATGTGGGGGGAGGTCACATGATCACGCGAGATCATCCAGACAGCCACAGAATGCAAACTGGAGCCCTGAGTGCCCACTCCACCCAGGATGCCAGCAAGGGGCAGAACTTGGTTAAGCCTCCTTTCAAAGAACAGAAACACTGAAGATTCCCTGACGTCAAACACCGCACTACACTTTGGGACTGTGATAGCAATTGAACCACAGTTTTGTTCCTTGGGGAATTTCCATTCTATTTCAGGGACAGCCAAGTAAGCTGACAAGTTCGGAATGGCAGCTTCTAACCTGTTGTTAGGGGACGATGAAGACTCCCTTGTGAGAGGCAGATCCCAGCCCAGAGCTGAGCAATGAGCGGGTGTCGGCCAGAGAAATGGGAAGAGGGTGGAAGACCCCCTCCGTCCCCATTTCAAAACTGAATGGAAGCAGCATAATCAGGGAATGACGAAAGGTCTACTCTCACAACACCCTTATGTGATGAGTAAACTTTTTCCCCCCCAAATACAAACTTCTTTGCTCACAAGTGCCAAGAAGCCAGGAACTGGGATAACTTGACCACAGCTGAATTCTGCCTCCTCATGAAGCTCCCAGGGGGTGCACAAGCCCAGTGGCTGGTGGGTGACGATTTTGGAGTCCCCTCCCATCCTGTCCTTGTGCAGCAGGGCCCCAGCCAGCTCCTTCTATGTGTTCTGTGGGAAGCCCCCCACCTTGTGCAAAGGACAGCCCTGACCGTGTCACAGCAGAGGAAATCAGGCAGCCAGTAAGAGACACGAGACTTCCAGGACACGGTCAGGGCTCTACTTCAGTGCTGTCTGGGCCTCTGGGACATCTAGGGGTGGGGAGGTGTGAGAGCATAGGGCAGGGTGACACCAGGCAGAACTGGGCTCAGGACACCAGCAGAGACTGCTGAGACCTGGAGCCTCCTGTCATCCCATCTAGAAACTCTGGCCTATCCTCCACTTAATGGGTAGGCCACAAGTCCCATGCCACCAGTTCATTTCCAGAAGGTCCCTGCCCCTCTAGGAAGGAATGCTGCTGGGTGGGCCTGACTCTGCTCCGGACAAAGGGAAAGAGAGGCCGGGCAAGGTGGCTCACCCCTGTCATCCCAGCACTCAGGGAGGCTGAGGCTGGGGGATCCCTAAGGAGTTCAAGACCAGCCTGAACAAGAGGGAGACCCCATCTCTACCCAACATAGAAAAACTAGCTAGGCTTGGTGGCACCCGTAGCTCAATGGGCAGGGTGCCAGCCACATATACCAAGGCCGTTGGGTTCCAACCTGGCCTGGGCCAGCTAAAACAATAATGGCAACTGCAACAAAAAAAATAGTGAGGCATTGTGGCGAGTGCCTGTAGTCCCAGCTACTTGGGAGGCTGAGGCAAGAGAATTACTTAAAACCAAGAGTTTGAGGTTGCTGTGAGTTGTAACACCATGGCACTCTACCCAAGGTGACAGCTTGAGACTCTGTCTCAAAACAACAACAACAACAACAACAAAACTAGCCAGTCATAGTGCTAAGCGCCTATAGTCCAGCTATTTAGGAGGCTGAAGCAGGAGGATGGCTTGGGCCCAGTAGTTTGAGGTTTTTATGAGCTTGGCTGATACCATAGCATTCTAGCCTGGGGCAACAGAATGAGACTCTGCCTCAAAACACACACACACACAACCCCCACCCCCAAAAACCAAAACAAAGGGAAGGGAACAGAGGACACCAGTTATATTAATATTTCAGATAAACATACACTTCACATTAAAAAATAAATAAGTAAAATTTCAGGTAAACAGATAGTTTTTAGAAGTAGCTGTTTATCTGGATGTCTTCTACCTACTAATTTAGTTCTAGCTGAACACTTACACAAAGTGATGATTCAGGATAATATGTACATTTAGTATAATATGTATACTTAGGACCCAAATATGTTTTAGTATATAAATATATAATATCTATTTAATACAACACATATTTAGTATATCTTTAGTATTTATTTTTAGCTGAATACTTACTGAAATATTTACTCTATTTATGTATTTAGTATATAAACTGCATTAGATATAAACATATGTATTTAGAATTAATTTCTAACTAAATACTTATGCTAAGAAGTGATTTGCTGTTCATATGAAATTTAAGTTTAACTGGGCATCTTCTACCCGTCTATCCACCTGACTGTCTCAGCAGGTGGGCTTCTATCTTCCACACCTAGGGTTCCCTGGAGATCTGCCTCAGGCCAGCAGGGCACGCACAAGCCCTTCACCTAGACCTCCAGACTCTTTCTCTAGAACTTTCTAATGTGGATGCTCAAAACAGCACACTCCGGCTGCTCTTGGGCTACAGTAGTTCTAGAACTCATCATTCGTACCCATCGTCTCAGTGGCAGGGACAAATGACAGGTGCAGCACCTCCCAGCCCGTATGAGGACAGCAGAGGGGGGGAGGCAGAGCCCAGAGGGGTGGCTGGAGGGAGCGTGGGCCTACCCATATTCCAGGTGCCAATGAAGATGGTGATCATGTCGGGCTCCGGCTGCTCCGAGTGCCTGTTCTTCATCTGCTGCAGCAGCTGGCAGAAGCCTTCTCTCTTCTGGGGGGAAGGACAGACAGGCTCAGAGAGGCCGGTGTAAATCAGTACGAACTTCAGGACAGCAACTTGGAAATATGCATCCAAAGTGGTAAGTTAGGGGCTTCTGTGATGGGCCATTCCTCTGCAAAGTCGTGACTACAGGAAAATAATCAGGAGCGGCCCAGAGCTCCCAGCATGGCCCTGCAGCACGTGTTTCAATACAGAAAACAAATCAGAAACAATTTTAACATCCCATCTTAGGAGGAGCCACTAATAATTATATTGTGGACCATCCATAAGCTATGATAGAACGCCATAGGGTTTAAAAATTCTGGCTCCAAAATACTTTATCAATATGAAGACATGGATAGGCCATTAAGTACAAAAAGCTAATTGTCAAAATGGTATGATTGGCATCATTGTATTTTTATTTGTTTTTGCAGTTTTGGCCAAGGCTGGGCTCAAACCCACCACCCCTGGTATATGAGGCTGGCATCCTACTCCTTGAGCCACAGGCGCTGCCTGGCATCATTGTATTTTTATTTTAAAAAAATACCTGGAAGGGTATAGTCCAAGGTTAACCAGCAGTACATGGGGTTTTTATTTTAAACACTCGCTTCTTTGTATTTGCTACTTCATCACCACTGAGAATAGATCACTTACACAATGAAAGAAAATTTAAATTAGAGAAAACAAATAAAAAATAAAGGGCACATCAGGGCTGTTACAGCCTCCTTAATATTTTTCACTTATTTTCCAGGGTACATAATGGGGCCCAGAGTAGACCTGGCTCTCTCTTAGTTGTAGTTCACAGGGCAGGCTCACTTTAAATGGTGTACACAAAATTTCAGGTTGGACCATGGGACATGACTAGTGTTTGACTGTTTCATACCACAAGGACAGTAACTTCATAGGATCCACCCTAATAACTGCACATCTCAGTAAGCCTGCTCTGAAGAGACCAGCTCCTGAGGATGTGATAACTGTCTTTACTGAAACCTCCCTGTAGCTGGAGATGGTGCACGATTCCATGCCTCAGTTTACCGGTGTGTCTCAATCCTTCTGAGCTCGCAGCAGGACCCACATGCCAAGAACACTACCCAGCCAGGCTGTCTTTCCCTGCTTCCCCCTCGCCTGTTCGGCCCCCACTCCCTGTTTCTCCCAGCCCCTTCCCTGTCATCCATGGCAGCTGTGGGTGCTCCCACATCTCCCACCAGCCCATTCCCGACACTGCAGGTGAAAGTAGGAGGGGAGTCCAGACACTCGGGCTGGGGGCGGCTGCTATGAGCCTGCACTGGGAGCCCTGGCCCCTTGACATAACTGAGGTGCTGACGTGAGGAGCTGGCCACTGGTGTGCCAGGTGCCCCTCTTGTCCTGTGGTCCAGTCTCACCGCCTCACAGGAGCCGTACACTGTGAGGATGGGTTTCGGCCCCTGGTTCACATTTCTGGTAGGGGGTCAGGTCAGGTCACAGAGGACCCAGGTCCAGTTATGTGGTGATCCAGCCTGGGTTTTCCCACTGGCTCACAGCAGCTCTTACCCCAGGGGCCAGTCTTGGAGGGGGTGTCTCATTTCTACAGAGTGGGACAAAGTGTAGAAGGTGAAGCCTTGTCAAGACTCAGATCAGACTTTAAGCTGGGGTGTCCCAAAGGACTTCCAAGTCCAGCCAAGAGAAGCTAAAAGCCTCCCAACTGGGCTCAGGGCTGGGTCAGAGGGAGGTGAGAGAGGGTGTGCCCCCGGCTGAGGGGCAGCCGGGCACAATGGGGACTGGAGCGGATGCCGACCTGGAACTAGTCCTCACCTCTCTGAGTTCAGCTTTCCCAGAAGAGAACTAACTGAGCTAATGACACCCACTCCCAGGCATAGAGCGAGCCTCAAAGGACATGTGCCCCCCAGCCCCCTCTTGGCCCATCTTAGCAGTCTCTCGCTTACTTTGGAGTCGGCAAAAACATATTCCTTCCGTAGGGTCTTCTCCTTGTCTGTTTCTACCAAAATCACTAACTTGTTTAGGAACTTCTGGGACTTGATGAGCTGCAGGACTGAAGAGAAACAGAAATTCATTCATTCCACATACAGAGCCTCTGCCCTGTCCCTGACTTCCTGGCCTCAGGCAGAGCCTCAAATCTGTCTGGCCTCACAGATCCCTCCCTTCCTGGCTGCTCTTCCCAGGAGGGGCTTATCCCTGGGGAAGGTGTTACCTAGAACACAAAAGAGGAGAAAGAGGCGGTGGCCTGGACCGAGCAGAGACAGCGCTTCTTGTATTTTATCTTTCTTCTTCCCTCCTCCACTCCCCCTTTTCTTTTTTATTTCCTTTACTCTTCTTCCCTTCCTTTTTTTGCTTTGCTTTTATTTCTAACTTTCAAGCTTTAACCTTTTATTTTCATCAACTCTTAAAAGACTCAAATTGTCCTATGTCTTTGCAAATGATAGGACCCTTCCCTAAGGTCCTGCTCCTTAGAGGCAACCTATTTCAAGTTTCTTAATGGATCTTTTTGGAATTTTACTCCATGTCTCCACAAATCATGTTTAGGTTGCTACTTTCTTTTTGTTTTCAGACAAAGTTGGTAGAGCGCTGTGGTGTTAAAACTCACAACAACCTCAAATTTTGGGCTCAGGAGATCTCCTTGCCAAGGACTACAGGCGCCTGCCATAATCCCCAGCTAGTTTTTCTATTTTTACTAGAGATGGGGGGGGGGTCTCACTCTTGCCCAGGCTGGTCTTGAACTTCTGAGCTCAGGCAATGCACCTGCCTCAGCTTCCCAGCGTCCTGGGATTACAGATGCGAGCCATAGCACCCAGCTGGGTTGCTACTTTCTAATGCTTCAGTTTTAGGGATTTCCCACCGCATATTGTCTGCAGAAGATGAGGATTCACACACACAACCTGTCACCTTTTCACTCCCTCATGCGTAATTTTAGTCCCGCCATCTTCCTTCCAACAGTCATATCGTCATTTTGGCCAGATAAGCACTCAGAGCTTACCTTATTACGATTATGGACGTACTGTTGATGGACCAGCCCTAGCTGCTGTTCTTTTCCGACACAACTTTTTATCCTAAAGTTAGTAATTACCATGTTTTCTCACTGTTTCTAACTGTCCCCCAGCTTGTAATTCTTCTTCATGTTAGTGAGTCCTTTGATGAGTTTTATCACCCTGGAGGGGCCTTTCCCAGAGCCTCTGGGTCTCCTCTTCTCTGGACTGGTGACCTTTAGACCTGATGCGGAGCCTTCCCCTCGGGGCCTGCCTTCATCATATGGGAATCCCTTTACCTCTCCTTGGATCCTGTGTCTTTCTTGGTTGGCTCCCTCATTTTGGTAGACCAACGTTGTCTAGTAGCTTTCCAAGAAAGGAAGAACAGGTGACATAGTTTTGGAGGCCTTGCATGTCTACACTCACATCTAACTGACAGGATAATTTTCCCCAGGACTCTGGAGACCTGGCTCCATCAAGTTTAGTCTAAGCAACAGTGTTCTGATTCACCTGTGCACAGGTGAAACGCTGTAGGCCTAAGGCTGCTATCCTTAAATGAGGGCTTCCGGCAAAGTTGGCCTTTGGTTGGCACCTGGGAACTTGGATTTCAGAAGGGTTCCCACCATTCCCAGAACTGAGCGGCTCGCCGCACCTACACCATTTGTACAAACAATATTGTTTATGCAAACCACTTGTTTCCTGCTGGGGGTCTGGAGTCTGGGTACCTGCTAGACAAAGGGTGCCTATGTGACCAACAGCCAATTTAAAAACTCCATTTCCCATGTGTTGTCACAACTCACTGGGGTAGGAATGAAGTGTGTCTGATGTGATTCTGCTGGGACGGCAACACTCTTATTAGTTTGTGCCTGGTTTTCTCCAGACGCCATGCCCTGTGCCTTTCCCTGGGGTGATTTTGCTTCGTACACGGATCCTTTCAATTTAATAAATCACAGCCGTATGGTCACATGCTGAGTCCTGAGAGCTCTCCTAGTGAATTATTGAACCCGGGAGTAGTCTTGGGGGACCCCTGACACAATCTGTCATACGACTTGCTCTGCAAGTTTTTAGGCTCTTGTTTCTGAATCCAGCGTTACGTGGCCCCCTCCAGTGTGCTGAGCACTAGGGCCATATTCAACCTGGAAACCTGTGCTGTTCAGTTCTGAACATTCTTCTTGAATTCCTTCCTTCCTGTATTCTTACTGACACTTCTTATTTTGGTAACGGGCTTCCTGAGCTGGTCTTCTAAATGTTTAAAATATTGCCTCTCCTATTTTCCATTAGTTCATCCTTTCGTTGTACTTTCTGGGACCTGAACTTTATCTTTCCACCATTCCACTGAGTGATTTTTAAAAATTTCTGCGATGTTCGAATTTCTCCAGAGTTACCTTTCCCTTTTTTCTTCCCTTTCCTCACCTCTCCGTCCTTCGTTTTCACTTTGTTCTCTGACTACTCCTTTTGGGATCCTATTCTGTTCCTGTGTCTTGGTCCCATTTCTTTTTGTAACAATTTGTTTCTTCTGAGTTTGTCTTTTTGTCCCACTGTCTCCGCACTAGGCTTCCCTCCAGTGTCTGGTGATTTGGGGCTATGTGCAGACAGTGGGGTTGTTGAGAAGCCTTCTCCTCTGGGGGCTGAGGGGCTGATTTCCTGAGGAAACCACTTCTAGGGGCTCCTGATGCCACCAGCTCCTGAGACCTTGGTGGGTGCCATCGTATGGGTCTGGGGTCTGAGTTTGGTTTTTGGTTCCTAAGAGCTGGCCATCACTACCCATCGGCTTTTGACTTTGGAATGTTGTTCCTCTCGTGTCTCTGTCCCTGTGCATCTTGCCTTTCAGAAGGGAACTGCTGACAGTGTATGCATGTGTAGGACACTGCCACCCTGAGCTAGAAATCTCCCCAAAGGGAAATCGCATTGTTTGTCTCACTCTTGTTTATTTGCACGCAGCAGCCAGAGTTGTCCCTGCTTAAAACCTAATAGCTGCTCGCTGCATCCTAGAAGGAAATGTGAGCCTGGTCCCTGCCCAGCCTCTGCCTCCCTTGAACTCCGGCTGTCTGGCCTTCTCCCCTGCCAGGCTTAACCCCCATCCTTGGAAATCTGCCCAAGGGCCTCTTTCTCTGGATTTTGCGTGGCCAGCACCTCGTGGGGAGACTTTCCCCCCTCGTTGTCATATTTTCCTATTTAAATCCCCAGCCTAGAGTTTATCACTCCCTGACACATTCCTGGTTTATATATTTGTGTCTTTATTTCCTCCTTTACCCTCTTGAGTAAATGCTCTCAGGGGAGTCCATTCAAGTAAATGGATAGCTTGTTCATCTCTATGTACCAACACCTTGCACACAGTAGGAGCTTTATGATTTTGACATGCAGCAGCTGACTGATCCCATGCACAGAAGACTATGATGCCAAAGCTGTTAATGAGCATGGTGACCAGAACAGGGCAAGGAAGCTCCAATGCTTGTGACCAGATTTCCTCTGGGTGGGCTCCACTTTACTGTAGTAACCACGACTGGAAACTGACTGTGGGCCAGGCTGTGTGCTAAGGACACACCAGGCCCCATTAACATTTTGGGGCAATCCTACTAGGGACCCCTGTCTGTAGAGGAGACACTAAGGCTCTGAGGACTTTAGTAACTCACACAAGATCGTGCCCTATGGAAGAACCCGCAGCTCAGTGGGTAGGGTACCAGTCATGTACACCGAGGCTGGTGGGTTCGAATCCAGCCCAGACCAGCTAAACAACAATGACAACTGCAACAAAAAAATAGCCAGGAGTTGTGGCGGGTGCCAGTAAACCCAGCTACTTGGGAGGCTGAGGTGAGAAAATCACTTAAGCCCAAGAGTTTGAGGTTGCTGTGAGCTGTGACACCACAGTACTCTACCCAGGTCAACAGCTTGAGACTCTGTCTCAAAAAAAAAAAAAAAGATCGCTCTGTGTGAAGTCATGGAGCCAGGACATGGCCCCATTTACTCAGAGCCCGTACCCTGAGCCCCACTGGCCATCGGTGCCACTTATAAAGAAACCACCTGAACACAGGGCGTGTGCACATCATTTCACTCACGCACGCATGAGTAAACATTCCTCCCTTCACTGTGTTCATTCATTCTGTGCTCACTCAGGATGCATTTGTGGGTCACTTACTCTGTGCTGAGCACTGCTCTAGGCTCTGGGAATTTAGTGGAGAACAGAGCAGAGCCCCATCCCAGGCTCTGCAAAGCCCACACGAAAGGGGGGGGGGGATGTGGGATTTATGAGCAAAGTTGCAAGCACTTCAGGAGATGGGCGTACCTTGAGTATGCACTTGTTGAGTACCAGGACCCTGCCAGGGCCTGCAGGTTCCAGGCTGTGTAAGGTAAAGACCCTGCCCTCTTTGAGGGAGGGAACTTACAAACAGGAAATTGTGTTTTGATATGACAGAAGGTAAGTGGAGCTCCACCAGCTGGGGAGGACTGGAGCCAGGTGGGTGGCCCCCAGAGGCTGGCAGGTCCTGGGCACCTAAACTGCCCTCTTAAAGGCTCACAAGTCTGCCCTGAAACAGCCCATTTATTTTTTTTGGTTTTAGAAATGGGAGTCTTTCTATGTTACCCAGGATAGTCTTAAACTCCTGGGCTCAAGCGATCCTCCCACCTCAGCCTCCTGAGTAGTTGGGCTATAGGTGTGCATGACCATGCCAGCAACATAGTTCATTCTTGCCTTGAGCGGAGTTTTCTCAGGGACACTCATCTCCAGCTCTGCTCTTTTACCCCTCCCCAGTCTGCTTCCTCAAAGGGGAATGTCACCTCTTGATGGCAACTGCTCCAGCGTTTTGGCACTCAAGGCCATGCACACAGCTGGGACCGTGTGCCTTCCTGCTTCTCCCTCCAGGGCCACCATGAGTGCTGTGTGACATGTGCTTTCACTGACACCCTGCTCTGATGCCAGCCTGAGCCAGAGTGAGACCTCGACGCTGAAAAAAACAGCCAGGCATTGTGGCAGGCACCAGTGGTCCCAGCTACTCGGGAGGTGGAGGCAGAAGGATCACTTGAGCCCAGGAGTTTGAGGTTGCTATGAGCTATGATGCCACAGCCCTCTACCAAGGGTGAGACTATCTTAAACCAAACCAAAACAAACAAAGCCACAAAAAACATAAAATAACCCAGAAAGAAGCAGAGTTGACACCTGCTGCCCTCTGCTTCACTCTGGGGCTGATCACTAGGCCCTACCTGGCACTGGTATTCCCCCTACCTCCTGCACTCTGAATGGCCTCCCTAAGTGGGGGTGTCCCTAACTTGGGCTGTGGCTGGAACACCTGCTTACCCTCCCAGACCCAGACTTGAAGTTCTTGCTTCAGGTTTTCCAAAGCCCTCCCACTGCACCTGAGATAAAATTTAAACTTGTGACCAGGCATGAGGCTAAGTCTTCCCATATCCCCTCCCTCAAAGGCTGCCACTCGCCCCTCCCAGGCCTCTCTCTCCTCCCAGGTGTGCCCTGCCTGTGTCTGCCACCGGGGTTGGCACCCACTGCCCCCTGGTTGGGATGTTATTCCTGAAGACCCCACTGACCGGTTGCTTCTCAACCTTGAGGTCCCAGACTCTGCCCCACCTCCCCCCTCAGAGGGCCGTCCCTGTCTGTCTCATCTAAACAGTCCTCCTTCCCAGTCTCCCTCTATCCCATTACCCTGCCTTCTTTCCTTTGTGGCACTTACAGGAGCTGAATAACCCATCATAGGGATATACGTATTTCATTATTGGCCACACAACACACCAAAATATAAACTGCATTTGAGGAGGGCCTTGTCTGTCCTATTCTCTCTGGATCCTGAGCCCTGCCACTGTGGATTATCCATAAGGATTTATTTTGTGCAAACATAGATTTAATGGTACAAAAGCAAAGCCTCAGTTGCTCAGAATCCACTAACAATAGCTGACCCTGGGGGTGGTCACCACATGCTGGGTTCTGTCCTAAGGAGCCTCCCATGTACCATCCATTTAATCTTTGTCATTCCTGCTTTATAGATGAGCAAACTGAGGCCCAGAGAGGCTACATGACATGTTCAAGGTCATGCTGCTAAGTGGCAGAGCTGCGATGTGACTTTAGATAGTTTGGCTGCAGAATCCAGGTACTTCTGTGCCGTGCTGGACTGCCTCTCAACTTATGCTAAAGAAGCTAGTGATGGTCGACAGCTCTGCATCCAGGCAGAGCCTTGTCCTAGGCACTGGAAGGGCACGGGAGGGATCAGACTGGCTTGGGAAGAGGAGACATGTACACACACACACTCTCACACAGGGCCACCAGGGCAGGACATGCTGAGTACGTGACAGGTGTGAGCTCACTCCCAGGGGTTCGAGATGCCTCCTGAGGGGAGTCAAAGGAAGCAGTAGTCCACAGGCAGCAGGTGCGATGGACTGGCTGTAGTCTGCTCCTGACCCATCACCTGTCGGGCACAAGCAGAGGGAGGGCATAAGGGGTGCAAGGGGTCTTACTTTTCTTGTGGCTGTAGAACTTGTCCTCTGAACCATCCTTGGACTTCTTAATGATCAGTTTCCCAGACTCCACGTCGACTTTGAGCTGCATTTTCTGAGGGATCCCCAGAGACTCTGACTTCACCTTCGTGGAGGAAGACATGTCGTTCATTGATTTTCTGGCATTGGCAATGCTGACCCGAGCCCCTTGTCTTCATGGCTGGGTGACTTTTGGCTGGACTCCCAAGTGGGGCCACTGGGCTTCTATCTCCCTATCTCCCCTGCCCAGCACCCCTCATGCACATTTCCATGGGCACAGGAGTCTCGAGAACTCTGGGGGAGCCTGGCTCGCCCTGCCAACCCAACAGGTCTGGGGGAGGCAACAGAAGCAACAGCTGCCAGAAGGTCCGTTCACGGATGACTGCAACAACATTCATTAAGCTGATGTGTCATCTACTTCCGGAAAGAATTTTAGTAACAAATTTAAACTCCCAGGCCGTGTTATAACCACTAATTGAACACTTACTGCTATCAATTAGGGAAAAAGACAGCTACCTACACATCCTCAGAAAATGGAAATCTGTCTTAACAGATTATCCCCAGGGCTAGAAAGGGGTAGGGATGGAGTGTGTTGGGAGGGGGTGTCTCATACTGAGCTTCTGAACATGGGCCAGTGCTGGGCTGGATGGATGGGAATCTCTGAACATTGTTAAGAAAAGCACATTTCTGGGCCCAAACCTGCAGATTCTCTTAGTCTCTCTCAGGAAATCATAGGCATTGCACACTTTGATTTTTCTGGTCCCCCTTCCCCTTGAGGCACTACTTTTAGCCTGTTTAGAGGCCCCTCTTTGATGTCCTCATCACCCCCATTTTGAGAAGGACAAGCATATAGCATCTTGGGCCAAAGAGAAGCTGTTCCCTTGTGGTATCCCCTGAAGGGGGGTTCCACTGCCCGCCACTCTGGCTCCCTGTGGTCCCACAGCCACTTACCTCAAAGGTGATAGGAGGGATGAGGGAACGCCGGTGGGAGGAGTCGGGACCCTCGTGCAGCAAGGCCTTCACCTGTGGGCATCAGTGTTAGGAGCACAGAGTCAAAGGGGACATGGCGCCAGCATGTCTGGGGATCTCTGTGCAAAGAGGGGGCCAAAGAGAAGCCAAGAGCAGCGGTAGGATCCCCACGAGTACCTTATCTTCGATGGAGGACAGCAGACTCGTCAGCTGGCTCAGCTTGGACACCATGTTGATGGGATTGGCCTCACAGGGCACCTGGCAGAGGAGGGAAAGAGCCCGTGAGGGCAGCAGTGCTGAGTGAGAGCCGTGGAGAGGAGTCACGCCGGGCTCTCCCCACACTTCCCCTCATCCCATCCTCCCCACAGCCCCGCGAGAACTATTATTATCCCCACTGGCAGACAAGGACACCAGGAATATCGAATATCTTCTCAAAATTCGCAAAGCCAAAAAATAAATCTCCACTTCTTCCCTCTAAGTCTGCCTCTGCCCTGGTGCCTGTCGCCTCACCCACTCATTTACTTAAACAAAGCTCCAAGATGGCCATGAACGTCACCTTTCCTCCTCCTACATCTCCTGCCCAATGTTCCTGTCCTACTTCCAAAATACGCCCAACCCTACTGCTTAAAATCCCAGTCTAGCTCCTCCCCCTCTCAGGGAGAAAATTATCTAGACCCTCCTGCTGCCCTCGGGGGCTCTTTTCAGATCTGCCTGGAGCTCCACTTTCTGAGCAATCTCCAGAGATTCCATTTCACTTGGGAGGGACACCACCTTGCCATTCGGGTCTCAGACCCACAAAGAGGTCTTCCCTGACCACCCTCTCTAAAATAGCCTCCCAGCCATCTCTATCAGGTCACCTCCTTTGTTCTATATCAATCATCACAAGCTAATATTCTCTCCTTCCTTTAGGGTTTCGTTGTATGTCTCCCCTAGATCATAGGCACCATGAGAATTGAGACCAGGAACATCATGTTCAATACTGCAACCTTGCTGCTTAGAACTGCGTCTGGAGAATGAAGATGCACAGGAAAGTAGTTCAGCAAATACATGGAACCCAGAGAGCTGCAGTGACTTGTCCAAGGTCACATGGTAGTAAATGGCAGAGCAGAAACCCGTGGCCCTGTCTGCCTAGCACCAAGTACATGGTCTCATGCTTGTGTTCACAGAGCAAATGTTTATGAGGCATGTGTTCATGCGGGACACACCTCCAGGTGCTGGGGTTTTAGAGTTAATAAGACACCATCTCTACCTTCCAAAAGTAGGATGAGCAAATCAAATACATGCAGGACCAACTTGAACACAAAATAGAATGGAATGGGAGTTATCACCAATTAGGCAATGTTCTTTACCTAACCCCTTGCTCATAATAGCAGCCAGG